GAATCTTCCCATTCCCTTCTATCTATTTAGTCTGGGAATAGCAACCCTTGGGGATGCAGTAGTGACACGGAACAAACACCACTGAATCTCAAACTCGTTAAAGCCTTGCTAACGTGTTTCCTATTAGGAGAACCACTGAGTCGGTATTTCCTTCAGGAAATGAAAGGAGCTTCAAGATGCCAGAAGGCTGATTTCCACGTTCTGCAGCATTGGTCAACCAACTGGAAAAAACGTCAGTTGTGGCTGTGGTAGGAGGCTGTGAGTTGCAGCTGATCAAAGAAAATAGAGTACAGTCCTAGGCTGAATGTTTTCGGCTGAAAGTAGCCCAGCTGAAAACATTCAGCTTAAGATTGCACTCCTGTAACTGCGCATTATTTACTGCCATAGTGTCACCCAAGGCCTTCTAAACTTGCCACTTATCGCAGAATTCTAATTACATTGGAGAACTACGCACTGAACAACTCTGCTAGCAATATGAATTTAATAAATCTCGGTGTGTCCCAAGTAGTCGGTGTGATCACACATTTTATGCAGTTATTTCTCAGTACAGTTAGAAAGATGCCTGTAACTTCACCCTTAAACTTTTACGCAGCTGCATATGAGAAGTACGTAGAAATTAAGTTCAAATCTAAAGGGTCACACATAGGCAGGGAGTAACCTCCCAAAATTAAAGTTTTCTAGCTTTTTTGTTGCTGAACTGAAAATCTCGAACAAAAATTCAAACACACACACATATACATATGAAATATCTTGACAGTGTGAATTTTGCACCACTCTTTCAGCGTAATAAAAAGCGCAGCTATTCTTACCCTGATAGCGACGAGCGGCGAACGAATGAGTTTATTGAGGCGCTCCTCGAATTTGGCAATATATGATTCCAAAGTCTCACAGATAACAACAGATGTGTGCTCATCCAGTGCAGTTCGTAAGCCCTCATCAACCAAATCGTGTAATTTTGGTACCAACTGAACGTCAACTACGCGTACTTCCGCATCGCAAACAACATTCTCCAGCTGAAATCCTAATGTTATTGGAAAGGTGAAAGGTTGAATTAACTTGCGACTGCCTTGCTCGAAGCTACATGAGAATCTTGTTTTCTGAATAACACCAGATTGTTGTTTTTTCCACATAACATTTGCCACGTTTCGAGTCTTCTGTATTTGTCAAAGGTTTTACGATTAAAGGAAACAAGAGTGCTGATCAGAACGAAATTGATCTAACCAATAACTTTCCGGCGAATGTCGTGCTGATTTTGAATTTCAAATTGATCGCGAAGCTACTTAGATTAGCTGCTAACTCTCCTTCACGGATTGTCCGATACACGGCACGATAAAAGCCCTGAAGCTGCACCGAACCACCACGCATCCTCATTTCTACCGTGTCATTTGGAAGAACCTGTAAAAATTTCAAGCTGTTCAACCGGTAAGTCTAGACCAATTGGAAACTTGCACGTCACAGTTCGGGTACCCTTGCATGTCACAGTTCGGAAAACCACTCCCGGAACCCTTCAGTAAATTTTTAATAGTCACCGGTTCATTCACTTATAGACTTTTCTTTTTAATTCTTTTTGCAAGATTT